GATAATGGGGACCAGTATAGACATGATGAACAGCGGTAGATGCAGAGGCAGAGCAATTGAACAGACTGTCAAACTACAGTGGGAAGCCTGGGGAGGGTTTGGGGGGGATTAAGAGATCAACCGAAGGACTTATATGCATGCATATAAGATTAACCAATGGACACAAGACACCGTTGGAGGGGGGGGGGGGTAGGGGCCGGAGGAATTTCAAGGGGGGGGGGAAGGGGAAAAATATAATACTCTTTGTAATACTTTTAGAAATAAAAACTATTAAAAAAAAAAAGTTTGAGGACCCCTGGCCTATGGGATCAGGCTTAAACCGGCATTTGGACATCCCTCTTGCAATCCGGGACCGCTGGCTCCTAACCACTCACCGGCCCGCTCACTCCTCACTGGCCTTCTCGCCCTTAACTGCCCGCCCCCACTGGCCTGCTTGCCCCCAACTGCCCTCCTCACCCCCGTCGGCCTGATTGCCTCCAACTGCGCCCCCCCCCCCGTGCCGGCCTGCTAGCCCCCAACTGGCCCCCCCTGCCGGCCTGATCACCCCAACTGCCCTCCCCTCCTGGCCTGATCACCCCTAACTGCCTCTACCTCGGCCCCGCCACCATGGCTTTGTCCAGAAGGACATCCAGAAGGTCTCCCGGTCTAACTAGCATATTACCCTTTTATTAGTATAGATTACTAGTCCTCTTGCTTTTATGACCTTTCCAGAATCACTCAGGAGCCCAGGTGCCAAAGTAAACAAGATACATAGCATTGATCCATGGTTGAGATTGCTGGCCTGAGAGGCAAAGGAATATCGAGGATTCTGGAAAGGGTACTTTGAGGCCACAGCTAGAATCTTGTCATTGCCTAAAATTTCTCTACCTACCCATAATTCTTGATGGAACTTAGGGCAAGGGATGTATCTAACTTGTAGAGGAACGGCAGCAAAGATCTTATAGTAGTAGCCATCTCACAGGGTTTATAGTCAAGTTTAGGTAAGCCTGCATTCAACTTGGGACAGAAAATTTCAAGCAAACATAATATTACAAAATTCAGTTAAACAAGGACAAACTATTTATAAACCTATCATGTATACCATTAGGTTGCTAAATACAGGCATACCTCGTTTTATTGCACTTTGCTTTATTGCACTTCACAGATGTTTCGTGTTTTACAAATTGAAGGCAAGATCCTCCACCAGCAAAAATATTTACAAGACTCACTTTATTGCGGTGGTCTGGAACTGAACCTGCAGTATCTCTGAGGTATGCCTGTATAGTGAAGATCAAAATCATTGATTTTGAAACTCAGCTGAGGCTAAGGAATTTTTAAGTTCTAAAATGATAATAAGAGTTTGAATAGAGAATATGGTGTCAGAGTTGGCACAGTCATCAGTGAATATAGAGTAGTGGCCAGAGGTCATTAGATCATATAAGGAGGAATGGAAGAGAACTGTATAGATGGCATTATTGTGAGCCTCAGAAGAGGAGATATTTATTGCATGAGAATCAAAGTCAAAATATTTTGTTTTTAGTAAAATAAAAATATTTTATTTCTAAAAAGTTAGGGCCTAGAAGCAGTCAAGATCCTAAGAGAAAGCAGGTGCTGACTCCTAGTTTTATGATACCAGTAGCATAAGGGAATGAGCTAATATTCATTCAAAGAATTGCAAACAAAACAGTATCCCAGGACTGCCACCCATAGCTGTGCAGTTGCAAAGAAATCCAGTCCATAGTCTACTTGCTAAACTGGGTCACAGGACCTTGTTATCCCAGATGAAGGGGTGCCATAAAACCACCAGCCCTATCTAGGGACTACTATGGGAGCTGCTTGTCCCTCCAGGGTGTGTCTTCTAATTTCACGTAGCTTCCAGTTGTATAGGACACTAAAGTTCTGGCAATGTAGTCAACATAAAGTTAAGACGAATAGGTTAAGGGAGTTCTTTAAATAGATAGTGGGTGTAAAGGGGTCCAGTGACATGGCAGTAAACTCAAAAGGAGCACAGTATAAAGGAAGGTCAATGTTGGATATATTAGTAAGGAGATAAAACACAAAAGAAAAGAGGATAAAAAAAGCTAATGTATGTTTTTAATTGTAGAACATTAATAAGATCATGTCCTATTTTAAAAAGCAGCTTTGGCTATGGTGCGATAATATTTTAGATGTGATGAAAAAACCTTATTGACCATTAAAGTTTTTTTATGTACATTTGTTGTGTTATGTGCAAATATAAACTATTAAGAGAGTTAATGTATTATTATTTAGAAACCAATAATAAGATTCCATTAAAGAAATTTTGTTTCTGTCCTAGTAGTACCTTATTTCTTGACTTTGACATTTCAGGTAAAAAATAAAAATAGTGATAAAGTAAATGAAGGCAAGATCCTCCTTTCTGAAAAACAGAAAGAAACAAATATCCAAGAGCAGAATTCATCAGGTTCAAATGAAGAAAAATCCAAAGCTCATAAAAAATCAAACCCATATGGAGAATGGAAAGAAATTAAACAAGAAGTTGAGTCTCAGTAAGTACCTGAAATGTAATCCCACTGTTATTACAAGTATTTTATATCAAGTACTTCAATAAGTTATAGTAACTATTTGAAGGATAAAGTACTCATTAAAAGTATAGCTCATTTATTTTATTACTAGAGTGTGTGTTTTTTTCTAATATTTTAAAATATGAGTCGGGTTATTTTAAAAAGGTAGTGATTGTTTTCATTTCTTCCAAAATAGGACATTTCTGTTGAGCACACATTCACACAGTAACTCAATTATGCACACATGAGCATTCTCACACATGATTATTATTCTATCTGAGAAATAAATATCTGCATAGTCAACAAATGCTGCATATAATACATCTAAAAGCAATAAAAAAAGTTCTGTTGCTGTCTTCAAAATGGCTTATGACAAAGTTTTTAAGCCAGTTTAAGAAAACAACAATTTTATCAATTGAACAAGATCATGGTGAGATGTTACCTGGTTTATATTTCTAGCTTATGTGATCAAGTCAGTTATTGTCTTAGAAGCATTTACACAATGAAAGGAAGATCTCACTTTCAGCTTCACAGATTAGTGTTTCTTAACTGCTTAAAAAAAATCTTCAGGTGGGAAAAAAAGTATCTTCTAATTACATTAGTTAAGCAGTTATTCTCTAAAACATTGCTTTGAAATGGTAATGAAAGATGACTAATCTAGTGATATTTGAAATTATTTATGTTAAAATTATATTTTAATGAAAAGGTTGAATTTTTTCACAAGGTAAAAGTAATGCAAGTTTTGGACAACTTTATATACCTGTTCTAATTAGAAATGATTCTCTAGGGGTAACACACCATTAAAATGGTACTAGGATAGATTCCGGTCACCATAGTGGCATAGGTAAATGTAATACTCCAATCTTCCCACAACCACATCAAAATTACAACTAAACTGCAGAACAACCATCATTCAGAACTGCCTGAAACCTAGCTGAACAGAAGTCCTACAGCTAAGGATATGATGAAGCCACATTGAGACTGGTAGGAGGAGTGGACACCCAGAAAGGCTGGTCCCACTGATAAAAATTGGGAGAGATATCTCAGCTGTGGGGGTCCCCCTGAGGAGTGAGAGGTTCCAGTCCCACACCAGACTGCCCACCAGATGCTGCTTGTTTGAAAAATTGGGTTCCAGTAACACAAAGAGAAATTATCATAACTTCTGGCTGTAAAAACCAGTGGGGATTGTGGTTCAGTGAGCTGGAGGGCTGCTGGAGTCCCAGGTATTTCTCTTAAAGGGCCGGTGCACAGACTTTCTCAGCTCACTCACTTCTCCAGCACTGGGCCAGCTGCTCAAAAGGCACCAGAGTTATAAGGGGAGGAACTGAATTGTCTGCAGTCAGGGCAAGAGCTGGAGGGGCAACTTTCTCCCATACAGAAGTGCTGGTAGAATGGTGGCAACAAGAGGGTGTTCCTTTTCTGCGCCCTCCCACCATAGATCCAGTAGGTGGGCACAATATCTGAGTCTCCATCAACCTGGCTGTCACCCTGGTCCCTGAGACCCAAACCCACCCAAATTGCAGGTCCACCCAAGCTGTTTGCAATGGCTTTTCCATATGAACAACTTGCCTTGGCTCATAACTTCAGACATTACTAAAATTTCTCAAACAAGCAGCATCTGGCATCTGTGTGCCCCTTACCTCATGCAAAGTTGCCACAGGCCCAGCTAGCAGCAGCCAGCCTTGGTTCGCAGATTGGCCTCACTTCAGCACCTCCAAGCCCAGCACAAGTAGCAGCTATCTAAGAATCACTTTGTAAGTCATGCTGATGGCCCTGGGGGACAACACAGGCAGCAGCTGACCTTTGCCTGCACTTTCTGGGAGACACCTAAGCCAGCATACCTGGTGCACAGCATCAGACCATGTTGAAGCACCACCCAAATGCCTCCACAAGAAACACATTCAAGCAGCATACTCAAGAGGCTTCAGAGCCCTACTGAAGTAAGTCTTCTTCCATGGGGTGGGCCCGTGCACAGCTGATCCTCCAAGGTGGTCACAGCCAGTCCTTATAGCTGATAGGCCTAGGGATAAATCCCTCCTGTTGATGTGCCGACAGCAATCAGTGCTCAACTACAACAGGAGGGTGTACACCAAGCATGTCAAACTCAGAGGCTAACACAGGCCAAATAAACAAGGTTTAAGTTTATGTGGGCCACAAAAAAACAAAAGCTTCAATTTTCATAGAAACATAGGTTTATTTCAGTAGAGACATGCTAAATACAAAAGGCTGAAATAAATGAGTAATTGTTAACATAAAATAATAGAACATTTTAATAAAAATTAATATTTTTTTCTTGAACATTAACTTACCGGACACTGAATAACTGCACAAATTAATAAGCGTAATGCAAATAAACCTACTTTTCTTATTCTCCCAAAGCGAAATATTTCCTGTTGCACACACCAAACAAGTCAGTATAAGACTAATGACGTGGCAATCGGCTGCTAAAATACTCGCTGCTAGTATTAGTGGGGAGAGATGGTGTGCTTGCGCGTAAGGCGCATAAGGGAAATGAATGCAACACGATTATAGTAAACAATCATTAGTGAACATTGTAGTTCATTATTAATAACTAGAGGCCCAGTGCACAAAATTTGTGCGCTAGGGGGTAGGGTCCCTCAGCCCTGCCTGCACCCTCTCACAGTCTGGGACCCCTCACTCCTTACCGCCCACCTGCTCACTCCTTACCGCTCGGCTTACTGGTCCTTAGCGGCAGGCTCCTTACCACTCAGCTTGCTGCTCCTTAGCGCTCCCACAGAGGTGGGAAAGGCTCCCGCCACTACCACAGAGCCTGGCTTCTGGCTGAGCGGTGCTCCCCCTGTGGGAGCGCACTGACCATTGGGTGAAAGCTCCTGCATTGAGCGTCTGCCCCCTGGTGGTCAGTGTGCAACTTGGCAACCAGTTGTTCTGGTCATTCCCCATAATGCTTGCTTAGGCTTTTATTATATTGATTATGTATAACAGGATGTTGTAAAAATTAAGTTAACAAAATTTTTATTACGTTTCTTACATACCATCATATTGGCTGGGCCGCAAAAATACTTGTGGGCCGCATGCAAGCTGCGAGTTTAACATGCTTGGTGTACACAGCCCACAAGGAGTGCCCAGCTTGGGTGAACATGGAGGCTGTGCCATTGGACCACACAGGACACCTACTCTATGAGGCCACTCTATCAAGCCCAGGAGACATACTAGCTCTATCTAATACATAGAAACAAACAGGGGGGCAGCCAAATAGGAGACAAAGAAACGTGTCCCAAATGAAAGAACAAAACTCCAGAAAAAGAACTAAACAAAATGGAGAAATTTACTAGATGCAGAGTTCAGACCACTGGTTATAAGGATACTCAATGGACTTAGGGGAATAGTAGATGAACTTAGTGAAAACTTCAGCAAAGAGATAGGAAACAAAAACAACTAGAAAACAAAAAAGAACCAGTCACAAATGAAGAATACATTAATTGAAATTAATTGAATACATTACAAGGTATCAACAGTGGAGTAGATGAAGCAGAAATTTGGAAGATAAGGAAGCAGAAAACACCCAATCAGAACTGCAAAAATGAAAAAGAATCCCCCCAAAAAGGAGGATAGTATAAGGAGCCTCTGGGACAACTTCAATCATACCAACATTTGCATTAAGAGGATGCCAGGAGAAGAGAGAGAGAGAGAGCAAGGAACTGAAAACATGTGAAAAAATAATGTGGAAAATTTCCCTAACATAGTGAAGGAAATAGACATACAGGTCCAGGAAGTGCAGAGTCCCAAACAATATGAACCCAAAGAGGCCCACTTTAAGACATACCATAAATAAAATGCAAAAAGTTAAAGAGAGTATTTGAAAAGCAGCTAGTTAACTACAAGGGAGCTCCCATAAGACTGTCAGCTGATTTCTCAACAGACACTTGGAGGCCAGAAGGGATTGGCAAGAAATATTCAAAGAGATGAAAAGGCAAGGACATACAGCCAAGATTACCCAGCAAAGTTATTTAGAATCAAAGGACAGATAAAGAGCTTCCCAGACAAGAGAAATCTAAAGGAGTTCATCACCACCAAACTAATATTACATGAAATGTTATAAAAAGGTGTTCTTTCAGAAGAAGAAAAGATTTTTTAAAAAATGAATAATAAAATGGCCATAAATACTTAGCAACAATTGAATCTAAAAAACAAATGAACAGAAACAGACTCAGATACAGAGAACATTTTGATGATTGCCATATGGGAGGATGTTGTGGGGATGGGTGAAAAAGATGAAGGGATTAAGAAGTATAGATTCGTGCCTGCCCAGTATGGCTCAGTGGTTGAGCATCAACCCATGAACCAGGACAAGATTCAATTCCTGATTAGGGCACATGCCCAGGTTACAGGCTTGATCCCCAGTAGGGGGCATGCAGGAGGCAGCCAATTGATTCTTATTGATGTTTCTGTCTCTCCCTCTCCCTTCCTCTCTCTGAAATCAATAAAAATATATATTTTTAAATCCTTTGAGAAAAAAAGAAGTATAGATGGGTATTACAGAATAGTCATGGGAATATAAAGTACAGCCTAGGGCAGTGATGGCGAACCTTTTGAGCTCAGCGTGTCAGCATTTTGAAAAACCCTAACTTAACTCTGGTGCCGTGTCACATATAGAAGTTTTTTGATATTTGCAACCATAGTAAAACAAAGACTTATATTTTTGATATTTATTTTATATATTTAAATGCCATTTAACAAAGAAAAATCAACCAAAAAAATGAGTTCGCGTGTCACCTCTGACACGCATGTCATAGGTTCGCCATCACTGGCCTAGGGAATAGTCAATGATATTTAAATAACTGTGTATGGTGACAGATGGGTACAAGATTCATCAAGATGATCACTTAGTAAGTTATATAATGTCTAATCACTGGGTAGTATACCTGAAATTAATGTATGTCAACTGTAACTGAAAAACAAAAAATGATTTAAAGTGAGATAATTGTTACTATTATGAAACATTGAAATTGTATATATTAAATATTGGGAAATGTGTATTTAATACAGGTACCATAAGTAAATTATGTATTTTGAAGTTGCAGAAATAATAGACTACATTACTTCAGACCTAAGTGACTTAAGTGACTTACAATAAGAAGATGGTCCTATTATACCAATATCTACTATTCTGCAAAGTTGAGATTTCTCAGATTTTGAGTATTTTTTTCTTGTGATAACTATATTCTAAGGCCATTCTTGTTAATTTTAATCACTAAGCCAGTTTAATATGTGAAGAGTTATGTCTGACTCCCTAAGTAGATTAGCCTAATTTCTTAAGGATTTTTTTCCTCTAAAAATAACATACATGTTTATTATAAAAGACTTTTTTAAATGAAGAAAAGCATAAAATATCCTATTTTGTTAAAATTTTATAAATGTTATTTTAAATTGCCATATAATATGTAGTCATTTAGATGTGCATTGATTTTACTCAGCCATTCTCTTTCTGCTGACATTAGGTTATTTCCACATTTTTTTGTTTTTATAACTTACTCTGATTATTATATAGATACTAGAGGCCTGATGCATGAAATTTGGGGGGGGGGGGGGGGCCCCTCAGCCCAGCCTGCGCCCTCTCGCAATCCAGGACCCCTTGGGGATGTCCGACTGCCGATTTAGGCCTAAACTGGTAGTCGGAAATCCCTCTTGCAATCTGGGACCCCTTGCTCCTAACCGCCCGCCTGCTCGCTCCTTACCGCTTGGCTTGCTGCTCCTTAGCACTGCCATGGAGGCGGGAAAGTCTCCCGCCACTGCCTCTGCGCTCGCCAGCTGTGAGCCCGGCTTCTGGCTGAGCAGTGCTCCAGCTATGGGAGCACACCGACCACCATGGGCCAGCTCCTGCGTTGAGCGTCTGCCCCTTGGTGGTGGAGCTGCCCCCTGGAGGTCAGTGCGCATCATAGCAACCGGTTGTTCCGCCGTTCTGTCAATTTGCATATTAAGGTTTTATTATATAGGATATTACTCTGTGCACATTACTGACTATTTCTAGGAATGGAATAGCTGTTTAAAGATGAGGAGTATCATACAGATTTATACTTTATTAGCAGTTTTGAAAGTTCCTCTTCCATTGGACCCCCTCAGCAAAAACTGGCATGTATTCAGTATTACATTGTCCATCCAAAAATGTTGTATCTCTCCTTTTACTCAAGTCATCTTGTATGATTTTATAGTTTTTGTATCTGCCTCTATGTAAGTCTCACATTTGCATTTCTTGAATGTAAGCTAGGTAGCCACTTAGTCTAGTTGGTTTACTGATGTAACCCCAGAACTAAAAACAGTGCCTAGCACATAATAGATGCTTAGTAAGTGTGTTTTAAGTACATTAATTAATTTTTAAATTGTGGATTTTATCCATTTCTTATTATTTCTTTAATTAGTAAATATGGTATGAAAAAGCTTATGTCCCGTTGTGCTGCTGAATTATTTTATTTATAAAACTACTATTCTGAGTCATGGGTTTTCCATGTACAAACTTTTCTGCAAATATTTTGTGATTTTTTTCTTTTGATTTTGCTCCCTATTTATTTCATTTCCTATTTGCTTTAGTTAGATTTTTAAACCCAGTGTTATATAATAGTGATGACAGTGGGCATTCATGTTTTGTTTCTGATTTCAGTGGAAATGTCTCTAAAATTTATATTGAGGATTATATTGACTGTTGATCTTAAGCCTATTATGTTATTTTTATTATGCTAAGGATGTGTGCTTTATTTCTGGATTCTTCAAGGATTATCAGAAATTGATTTTGATAAATTTCAGTAGTCATAGCTTTGATATGGGGAACAGATTGGGAAATGGTAGTCTGTAGTTTTGTTTTTCTTTGTAAAATGAGTGATATCTTTATCAGGTTTGGATATTTGACTTATGCTAAATAAAAAGCATCAACCCATTTTGACATCTTTTTGATGTCAAAATTTACATCTTCATATATTGTGTACCTATTAACAAATAGTTTTAGCTAGTCTGGTTTTAATGTATTTGTCTTTTAACCTTTATATTAGAGTTAAGTAGTTAACACACAACCCTAATAGAGTTTTTGTTTATTCTGACTATATGCTTTGTATATTCTGACTATATACCATTTTGGGGGGTATATTTTTATGTTAGTAATTAGCAGCCTTTCAGTTCAGCTTAAAAACTCCTTTCAGCATTTCTTGTAAAGCAGAATAACCTCAGATTTTTTTTATTAGGGTAAGTTTTTATTGCCTTCATTTCTGAAAGACAACTGGCTAGGTAATCTTGATTAGCATTGTATTCCTTTCAACACTTGGAATATATCATCACATTCTCTTCTGGCTTGCATTGTTTGCTGAGATATTCTCTGGTAGCCTTATGAAATTCTCTTGTATGAGTAAAATTTTCTTCACTTGCTGCTTTTAAAATTCTTTCTTTGTCTTAGATGTTAAACAGTCTCATTAAAATGTGTTTTGAAGATCTTTTTGGATTACAATTTTGAGGTGACCTATATTAGCTTCAACTTGATGTACAAATCTCTCCCCACTTTTGGGAAATTTTCACACATTATTTATAAGCTCTGGGAGGGGCAGGAATTGAGCTGGGCCTCAGGAATTACTGACCAGGCCTGAAACATTGGCAGAATTCTCCATCTTCCATCCCTAATCTCTGTAGAACTCCTTTCTCTAAATAGGGAGGATATGTAGTTCCCAACAGGTTTTATACGTCTAGCCACTAAAAAGTTAAACATAATGATCATTCTGGTCCATGTTCAAAAAGCTCAGGGAATGGAGTGATGGGTTTATTATGCTCGTGTTAAACAGGTATTGATCTGTGAATTAGTCAACTGAATATTTATAGTAACCATATGGACGGTTGAAGGGCTAGTTCCTTAGTAAAAGGGTGGTAGGCAAACAGCCGCATGGAGTCGTTACTACACTAGGCCATTGACATTCCATGGTTTTCATCTTGTGCTGTGTGAGCCCCCATAGGTCTTGTCAGTCCGTGGCAAAATCATTTTCCGTAAATACATCTCACTTATTCACCTATATAACTGTACTGTTAATCATACATAAGCACAATCATTTCCTTAAACAACACGTTTTGTGCGACAGGAATAAAAGAATAGATGGGAGTTTTCCTGGTGTGTCCACCTAAATAAGTATTTAGTATCTTAAATAATTTATTTTAAAATAGTTTCCTACTGCCCTAACCGGTTTGGCTCAGTGGATAGAGCGCCGGCCTGCGGACTGAAGGGTTCCGGGTTCGATTCCGGTCAAGAGCATGTACCTTGGTTGCTGGGCACATCCCCAGTAGGGGGTGTTCAGGAGGCAGCTGATCGATGTTTCTCTCTCATCGATGTTTCTAACTCTCTATCCCTCTCTCTTCCTCTCTGTAAAAAAATCAATAAAATATATTTTAAAAAAAAATAGTTTCCTACTCTAAAATGGCTAACTTCCCACTATTAGAAAGGTGATCTTGGGGCTTTGGTGGACCCACCAGTTATGTGAAAGTTTGTCTTACTCTTTGTCAAGTAATGGTTTTATTTTTATTTTCTATTCCAGTGAGGAGGTAGATTTGGAACTTCCAAGCACTGAAAATGAATATTTATCAACTTCAGAAGCTGCTGTTGGTGAGGAACCCAAAGTAGTTTTTAAAGAAAAAACAGTCACTTCTCTTGGAGTCGTGGCAGATGGAGTGGCCCCAGTATTCAAAAAGAGAAAAGTAGAAAATGGAAAATCTAGAAATTTAAGACAGCGAGGTGATGATCAATAATTGGAAAAGAGTTTTGGAACAGGATGCAGACTACACATCTTAAAAACTTCTCTATATTATTTCTAAATACTTTAATGCTAAAAATTTAGATTTATTCTAAATGTATTTTATGTGAATGTAAAATAAATCTTTTTTTATGTGAAATTTATTTTTGTTCCTAAAATGGAACCCTACCACCTTGCATTGTATTACAGTGTATTATGTTCAGTGTCTAAAAATGCTAATTGTCATAATATAAGATGCTATGTATCTGTTATTTAAAACCTGGAAAAGCAAGGCCTTTATTCCATTTTTACTCATATGAACATATTTACCCTGCACTGAAAATGCATTACTTTCATACACTGATATTAACTGTTATCTAAGAAATAAGAATCAGACCCCATAAGAGAAGATTCACAGGCCATTGATAGATTCAGTTCTGAGAATCCTGTCAAAAGGCTGATTTAGGAAGTGTATGCACATTGCCTTGTTACTCAACTTAAGGTCAAGGACCAAGAAAAGGACTACAGCTCAATTAGAGTGCAAATTGGACCACAGGTACAAATGAGTGTTTGCCTAGTTCAAAGCAACAACCATTGCTTAAGCATTTTTACTTTGAGCTAGGTATTATACTGTGCCCTGGGGATATAAAAATAAGGCATATCCCTATTCACAACTTCACATTCTAGCATAGTCCTTTCCTTCCAGTCATGTACTCTGTTTAGCAGTCTTATTTACATGTACTGGAAAATCTTTTTTAAGGTTTACTTAAAACTAGGTAGATGAAGGCTTGAACACAAATAGTAATGTCTCAGGCTTCAGTAAAAGATTTTAGTGTTCCCTTAGACAAATTAGACATTTCTTGTTTTCTAGTTAAGTTTCTTAAAAAATAGAATATTTCTTATTTAATCCATTTGAAATAGATACCTTCTCTTTATTACTCCAAATTCTTAAAATTATATTTTTATAAATTGTACAGTATTTAATGTTTGGTAGTAAATATTTGTCTTAAGGTTACTAGTATACATGTAAGAAAATGATAGATTATTAAAAACTTTATGAAAGAGCAAATTAATATTTGGGTGTTTGTTTTTTTTCTAATATCAGAGTCATCTTAGCATTGGAGAGCAAATATTTGAAGATTTGTTTTTCCACTTGTTCAATTTACTTATTTGGGTATTTCATGAATGTAGAGCATTGTAAAGAAGTATTTTAGGTTCTGTATAGCCCATTTGTCATCTAACTAAGTAATGTATCTTGTTGCTTGACTCCTCAATTGGAAAAGATGGTAAGACTATAAATGCAATACTGCTATATTTTACCCACATTTAGCTTATACAAAATACACAATTGAAGACATTTTTAAAACTGCACCTCGCTATGTAAAGTGTTTCTCTTTGATGCATTCTTTTTGTTTTTATTATCCTCACCTGAGGATATGGTTATTGACTTGAGAGAGAGAGAGAAACCTCAATGTGAGAGAGAAACATCAATCAATTGCCTTCCATATGCACACTGTCTGGGGATCAAATCCACAACCTAGGAATGTATATTGACTGGGAATCGAACCCACGACCTTTTAGTGTACCAGACAATGCCCCAACCAACTGAGCAACCTGGCCAGGGTTTTTTGATGCATTCTTTAACTACTTTACCTTTGTAATAAGACAGTATTAGAAGTTTGAAGGTAAACCTTAAACAAACTGGTTTTAAGGATTGCTTAGAAAAGACTTAAACACAAAAATTTTAGTAAATCAAATTGTAAAAAACTGTACTTTTCTATTTGTTTTGAAAGAATAAGAAAACATATCAACTTACCTAGAATTTTTCAAAAGTAAAACATTGGGTATGATCATTTCTGTCATTTCTATTTTTATATATATTTGTATATAGGTATAGATGAGAGGTTATAAAGGTAAAGTCCCAATCTCTCACCTCCTCCCCCATGACCACTGTGGGTGTTTTTTCCCCCTAAGCATGTTAACACTGGGTATATGTGAGCAACCATTATGACACTTGGATTTATGAAGTCTACTCTCTGGATGAAATATTCAAAGTTGCATGATCCAAACATCCAAAAGTGATTTTTGATTTTTAATGCAGTTTTTATAAATCCTGAAAACTATACTGAGGGAATAATCCTATCTGATTTTTAAGTATTGAGAAACTATAATAATTAAAATAGTATGGTACTAGTTTATATAAGGGTATCATATAAACTAGAGGTTTATGGTTGTTACTGTGCCATTACCACACTGACCTCACTATTGTGTTTTTATAGTATACTAGAGGCCCAGTGCACAAATTTGTGCACCAGTGGGGTGCACCTCGGCTTGGCTTGTGGGGATCAGGCTGAAACCAACCCAGTGCACAGATTCGTCCAGGGTGTGTCCGGCCCTTCTCACCCAGTCCCCATCGGGGCTGGCTGGCTGGGAAGGGACTGCGGAAGGTTGACAGGCCAGGGAGGGACCACAGGAGGGCTCCAGGGCGTGTCCGGCCCATCTTGCCCAATCCCGATGGGCCGGACCCCAACAGCAAGCTAACCTACCAGTGGGAGCATCTGCCCCCTGGCGGTCAATGTGTGTCATAGCGACTGGCCAAATGAATGGTCGGACACTTAGCATATTAGGCTTTTATTATATACTAGAGGCCCGGTGCACAAAAATTTGTGCACTCGGGGAGGAAAGGGGGGTCCCTCAGCCCGGCCTGTGCCCTCTCGCAGTCTGGGACCCCTCGGGAGATAATGACCTGCTGGCTTAGGCCTGCTCCTGGGTGGCAGAGGGCAGGCCCAATCCCTAGGTGCAGCCCCTGGTTGGGCTCAGAGCAGGGCCAATTGGGGAGTTGGGGTGCCGCCCCCTGTCATGCACAGAGCAGGGCGGATTGGGAGGTTGTGATGCCACCCCTAGTCACGCTCAGGGTAGGGCCGATTGGGGGGTTGGGGCACCGCCCCCTGTCACATTCAAGGCAGGGTCGATAGGGAGGTTGTGGCGCCACCCCCTGTCACGCACAGAGCAGGGCCAATCAGGGGGTTGGGGAGCTCCCCCCTGTCATGCACAGAGCAGGGCCGATCAGGGGGTTGAGGAGCTCCCCCCTGTCACTCACAAAGTAGGGTCGATAGGGGAGTTGGGGCACCGCCCCCTGTCATACACACAGCAGGGCGGATCAGGGGGTTGGGGCGCCGCCACTGTCACACTCAGGGCAGGGCCAATGGGGAGGTTATGGCTCTACCCCATCACACACAGAGCAAGGCCCATGTAGGGGGCGGGGGGTTGGGGCACCGCCCTCTATCACCCACAGAGCAGGGTCAATCAGGGGGTTGGGGCGCCGCCACTCTCACACTCAGGGCAGGGCCGATGGGGAGGTTATGGCTCTACCCTGTCACACACAGAGCAGGGCCCATGTAGGGGGCGGGGGGTTGGGGCACCGCCCTCTATCACCCACAGAGCAGGGTCGATCAGGGGGTTGGGGCGCCGCCACTCTCACACTCAGGGCAGGGCCGATGGGGAGGTTATGGCTCTACCCTGTCACACACAGAGCAGGGCTTGTGGGGGTGGGGGGGTTGGGGCGCCACACCCTGTCACACACAGAGCCGCAGGGCGATCAGGGGGTTTGGGCGCTGCCCCCTGTCATGCTGATCCGGTGCCAGGAGGCCTCGTGGCTCCGCTGATCCCGGTGCTGGGAGGCATATTACCCTTTTACTATATAAAATAGAGGCCTGGGGGCCGGCTGGTTTGCCCTGAAGGGTGTCCTGGATCAGGGTGGGGGTCCCCACTGGGGTGCCTGGCCAGTCTGGGTGAGGGGCTGAGGGCTGCCTTCAGGTTGGCAGTTGACTGAAGCTCCCAACTGCTCCTTTTTTTCTTTTTTTTCTTTTTTATTCTGGGCCAGCTTTAGCTCTGGCTCTAGCTCTGAGGCTTCCGCTGCTGAAAGAAGCTATCTGGTTTGTTTGCGTTCTATAATCGAAACAATGTATAACTCCAGCTCTGAGATCCCGGCCGGCTGAAAGCTGGTTTCTGGGGTTTTGTTTAGCTTCTTATTTGCAACATAGTACATAGTTTCTTAGAGTTGCAGCTCAGAGGCCGGCAAGTCAGGTGGGGAACGTTGGAGTCTGCAGTCACTGAAGCAAGCAAGCCTCATGTTAGCTTTCAGCTGCCTGGCTGCTTGCCGCCGCATCTGCTGACAGTTATTTGCATAAGATATGCTGATAGCAATGGGAAGGGTAGCGGTCGTACGCTATTACATGTTTCTCTTTTATTAGTGTAGACTAGAGGCCCCGGTGCACGAAATTCATGCACTCAGGGGGGTCCCTCAGCCCGGCCTGTGCCCTCGCAGTCCGGGAGCCCCTGGGGGATGTCTGACTGATGGCTTAGGGCCCGCTCCCCGGGGGGAATGGGCCTAAGCCGTCAGTCAGACATCCTTAGCACTGCCATAGAGGCGGGAGAGGCTCCCCCACTGCCACTGCGCTCGCCAGCCATGAACCCAGCTTCTGGCTGAGCGGCGCTGCCCCTGTGGGAGCGCACTGACCACCAGGGGGCAGCTCCTGCGTTAAGCGTCTGCCCCCTGGTGGTCAGTGCGTGCAATAGCCACCAGTAGTTCTGCCATTCAGTCAATTTGCATGTTAGCCTTTTATTATATAGGAATATTTTACTATGCCATATCTAACGTGTAGAACAGTATGATTTGATTCAACCTCTATAGGAAGTAATTTATCAAAATGTCAAAATTTTAAATTTCAGTATCTGTTGACTGTGTTTACTTGGCATTTCCACTTACAGAAATTTATCTTGTAAGTACTCACATGTGAGAAGTGACATGTGTAAGACTAATTGTAGCATTACTACTAAATCAGACATTAGAAACACCCTAAGGTCTACAAAACTGGCTCATTTAGAAGGAGCTGTGTATGTGCTTTTATGGATAGGTCTGCAAGATACATTGTTCGGCCCTGGCCAATGTGGCTCAGTTGATTGGAAGTTGTCACATGCATGGAGAGGTGGCCAGTTCGATTTCCTGTCAGGGTACATGCCTGGGTTGTGGGTTCAATTCCCAGTAAGGGGCATGCAGGAGGCAGCTATAGATGTTTCTCCCTCTCCCTCTCTCTAAAATCAATTTTAAAAACTTTTTTTTAAAAGTATGTTGTTAGGTTCCCTAACCAGTTTGGCTCAGTGGATAGAGCATTGGCCTGAGGACTCAAGGGTCCCAGGTTCGATTCCGGTACCTTGGTTGCGGGCACATCCCCAGTGGGGAGTGCGCAGGAGGCAGCTGATGGATGTTTCTCTCTCATCGATGTTTCTAACTCTCTATCCCTCTCCCTTCCTCTCTGTAAAAAATCAATAAAATATATTTAAAAATAAAAATAAAAAAATAAAAGTATGTTGTTAGGTAAAAGAAGCAAGATTCATAAAGGAAGAAAAGTGCACTGTTGAAGACAAAAGTTCTAGTGCCAGACTGACTCATTGCTGATCCCTATTTGTACTACTAGACCAGTGGTTCTCAACCTTACTAATGCCGCAATCCTTTAATACAGTTCTTCATGTTGTGGTGACTCCCAACCATAAAATTATTTTCATTGCTACTTCATAACTATAATTTTGCTACTGTTATGAATCGTAATGTAAATATCTGATATGCAGGATGTATTTTCATTGGTACAAATTGAACATAATTAAAGCATAGTGATTAATCACAAAAACAATATGTAATTATATATCTGTTTTCCAATGGTCTTAGGCGACTCCTGTGAAAGGGTCATTCGATCCCAAAGGGGTCGAGACCCACAGGTTGAGAACCGCTGTACTAGACCTTAGTAAGACTTAGGCAAGTTATTGCATCTCTCTGTACTTCCATTTTTTAATCTGCAAAACATGGATATTTTTACAAAATAAAATAGATGCATAGATACAGAAAATAGACAGTAGAGGGGAGGGGCTTTGGAGGGTTGGGTAAGAAAGGTGAAGGGATTAAGAAAAAAATCATAGACATAGACAATAGTATGGTGATTACCAGAGGGAAGGGGGGGGAGATAAATGGTGGCAGAAGGAGATTTGAGTTTGGGTGGTAAACACACAATACAGTATA